TGACGACTTACGCCAGACGACGATGACGACGACGACGACCGACGACGGCCGACGGACAACGGACGACGGACGCTAAACGACGACGGGACGACGGACGACGGGCGACAATTGACGACGACGACGACGACGACGAGGGACGACGGACGACGGACGACGGACGACGACGACGACGACGACGACGACGACGACGACGACGACGAAAGACGACGACGACGACGACGACGACGTCGGACGACGGACTACGGACGACGACGACGCCGACGACGACGACGACGACGACGACGACGACGACCACGACGGACGACGACGACGACGACGACGTCGGACGACGGACGACGGACGACGGACGATGACGACGACGGACGACGGACGACGGACGACGACGACGCCGACGACGACGACGATGACGATGTCAGCGACGACGACGGCAGCAGTTCCACACGCCGAAGGGTCGCAGCAGCCGCCGCACTGGTGCCCCGGGTTTGGTCTTGCCGCCCGCCGCCTCAGCGGCCCAGCATCTGGCTGCGCACACCGCGCCCGCTGCCGTCCCGGTGGACGCGCCGCCATCAACTGTTGGCTCGGGAACCGATTGCATCGCATCTTCGACCCACCGGACTTGCTGTGGCCCCGCCGCCGCCGGGCCCCCGGCGCAGCAGCCGCCGCAGACCTTGCCGGCGGGGCTGGCCGCGCCGCACGCTCCGGATGTGACCCGTCCCCCATGAGCGGCCTTCGCTCCTCCTCCCCCTCCTTCGGCCGCCCTCCCTTGATTGTCTCATTTTCCTTGCAGTATGGCACAGTTCGCTACAGCGGTGCCCCCGTTTAGCTGGCTCTTCCGCCAGCGCAGTTGCTCTGCCTGGCCGCCGACGCAGACATGTTTTGCCCCCTCCTGGGCGGGCCAGGGAACTCTCCGAGGTCCCCCGCTATCGAGCCACGCGTCGCCGAGAGTTCTCTGGGGCAGGGCCGCCTAAGTCGGCTCTACGCGTGCCTCGGACGTTTGGGTCGTCGATCCTCGTGAGTTCTCACAGGGGCTGCTTTGGGGCGGGCTTTCCCGAAGTTCGCCTCTGGTCCTTGAGCGATGCGGAGTGCCCCGGCGAGGCCCCTTGGTGTCCCGCACCGCTGGGTGCCGTTTTGACCAGGGGCATCGCCTGGCAGGGCGCCTGACAAACGCTCGTGCGCGCTGTTTCGTGGCCCACAAGCACCAGGCCCGGTTTTCTTCGAGTTTGGGGAGGTTGAAGCCTTCACCCGGGAGCCAGCCGTTCCTCATCCGCCCATGGGTTTGCTCTGCCGTGCTCTGATATGCTCCTCCCGTACTGAATCCTGAGTCCCTCCTCCTGCTTTTTTTAACCCCGCTCCAGGCCTTGTTCCTCCTCCTCCTCCTCCTCCTCCTCCTCCTCCTCCTCCTCCTCCTCCTCCTCCTCCTCTTGTCCTCCTCCTCCTCTCTCCTCCTCCTCCTCTTGTTCCTCCTCCTCCTCCTCCTCCTCCTCTTGTTCCTCCTCCTCCTCCTCCTCCTGCTCCTCCTCCTGCTCCTCCTCCTCTTCCTCCCCATCCCTCCGCGCAGACAAACACTGCTGCCAGGCGGGCATCTACGCCATCGCGGATGCTCTCTGGTGGGTGAAGCTCGTGGTGGAGGCCACAGGCAGCTGGAGGGGTTCCACAGGGGTGGATGAGAAGGAGGAGGGGTTGGACGAAACATGGGAGAGGGAGGAGGAGGAGGAGGAGGAGGAGGAGGAGGAGGAGGAGGAGGAGGAGGAGGAAGAGGAGGAACAGGAGGATGAGGCAAGAGGGGACGCACCGTGCAGTGACGTGTTCGGGAAATCCGAGGTCACTACACGATTTGTCACGCACCTCCTCGGGACCCCTGAGTGATGATCAGGAGGAGGAGGAGGAGGAGGAGGAGGAGGAGGAGGAGGAGGAGGAGGAGGATCATCTGTTACTGCTCCTGGTCCTGCTCCTCCTCCTCCTCCTCCTCCTCCTCCTCCTTTTCCTCCTCATCCGCATCCTCGCTGTAACAGTGAGGCAAGACGCAGAGACGCGCTTTTCTTTCTATGCGCTTCGCGCCATCAAGTTTGCATGCAGGCGGGATGAGAGAGAGGTAAATAACTACGCATATGTAGCGACAACTCGTTGTTGCCGTTTAGGCATCGTGGTTATAATCAGCGCTTTCCTTTAGTTCCCTCATCGTTCCTCTTCCTCGTTCTCGCCCTTCCCTGCAGACCCTTCCCCGTCCTCCTTAATCCTTTTTGCGGAGGCTCCTCCTGGGAAGGCTTGGGGGCCTCACAATAGTTTTTAAAGGGCTTCGTGTTGGCCACGCTGCTGCGAAGCACGGTCCCCCTCAACGACTGGGTCACGATTTGGAGTGCTTCGGGGGACGTCGTGGAACCATCTTGGGCCGTCATGGAGTTTTTGTGCTCTGGGTCCGTTTCGGCGCGCTTCGGGGCTATTAAGGAATGCCTGACGGCTTTTTGATTGCTTGGGGTGATCTTCGAGGCTTCTCAGGCGGCCTCAGAAAGACTGAAGAGCCGAATATCACAAACTCACGGGTAACCATGTTTCCACGTTTCGTGGGCCTGTTGGGGGTGTTCCTTGGGCCGTCTTCGGGCGTCTGGTGTGTGTCTGGGGCCGCCTTGAGCACTCACCGGGTCGTTTGGCCACCCTCCTGACCGTTGCGACCAGCTCCTCTTTTTGGGGGGGGTTCTTCAACGGCTTCGGAACTGTGTGAACATATCTGCGGATTCCAAGCATGCTTGATTCCTCTGATTCCTTGATTTGAGTCGTCTAATCTATGTGGAGTCAATGCTGATTAACATACATATAACAAATACACACGGGCCCCCTCCCGGGGCGTCCTCCACCACGATGACATTTTCTTTACGCTCCTGGTACCGTGCCCCCGGCCTCCCACATGGGCTCAGAATCGCCTCGGAAGAGCTGCAGACGCCCACGAGCAGCCGTCAGGTTGTGAAACCACGCTCGAAAAAGCCTCCACGCTCGAAGAAGCTTCCAACAGGCGTCCGAAAGGCGTTTGGGGAAAGCTTCCAGAGCGCAAAATCAGTGATTTTCCTCTGGCGTTTTCCATGCTTTCCGCTTCCTCGCTTGTTGAATATTCCGACGCTCGAAGACTTCGAAGGAGCCCCCAAGACCTCTTGGGGACCGCCTAAGAGATGCCCTCCTGGGCCTCCCAGGCTGGCTCCAAGAGGCCCCAGCATGAGCCAAGACGCCCAAGACAGCCTTCTGGCGCGTCTCCAGGTTCCCAGGCTCGCCGGAGAGCTTACGAGTACGCCTCCAAGAAGTCCCAGAAGAGCTCCCAGAAGCGGCCACAACACGCACGGAAAGGCCAGAATCGTTGATTTTGCCTTGGTTTTTGCAGGGTTTTCGTGTTTCCGCGTTTTCGAGCTTACAACGGTCCAAGACAGTCGCTGAAGCTCCCAAGACCGCCCCGAGATGGCCCAAGATGGCCGCCCCTGAACTTCCAAACATCCTACGACGACCTGAGACGCCCTAGACAATCTCCCGACGGCTTTCCAGGCTCTCAGGGTCGCCGAAAATCGTCCCGAACAGGCCTTTGGCTTGCGCTGATGTTGCATGTGTCTTGCAACGATGCCCTGAACAGCCTGTCTGTGAGGATTTTCTGTCTGGCTCGAAGGAAGGGCCAGAGAGGGCCAGTACCGGCCCTGGAATCCGTGACCTGATGGTCTCTGGTATGGCCTCCTGCACGGTCTCCGTATGGCCTCCGGGGAGGGGGCGGGGCGTCGCCGTTGCCTTAGAGATCTCCCCGCATCGTGTTCCACATGGTCTCCCGTAATGGAGGATGACGATTAATAAATGACCGGGGGTCGTGTTCACGCGGCGGCGCCCGGGATGACGATTCGAAAAAAACGGCCGCGGGCTGGAAAACTATTTCTTCTCATCGTTCTCCTCCAGTCAGGAAATTGTGCGGAAATAGCAGGAAGCTGTTTTTTGAATCGCTCCCCCCCACTTTTTTAAATGAATCGTCATCCCGCAGTATGATCCGTCTCCCGTGCGGTCTCCCGCAGTGTCTTCCGCACGGTCTCCCGCGGGGTCTCCCTGTGCAGTCTCCCTGCACGGGTCTCCCTGCGTGGCGCTCCGCGTGGTCTCCCCGCGTGGTGTTCCGTGCGGTCTCCCGCGCGGCTCCCCGTATTCTTGGCATCGCTCGGGCGTGTGCATTTTTCCTTCGGCGAGGGCCGTCGAGGAGCATCCTTGATCATTTGGAGGAAAAACCACGCACGAAACCTAACGAAAAAGCACAGGAAAGGGACGTCCGAGCGATGGCCAGTAGGGTCTCCCGTGTGGTCTCCCGCGCGAGCAGTACATCACCATGTTCGCTTGATGTTTGCTTATGTGGATTAGGCCCTATTCATAGGAAAACACGTTGTCTATTTTTCCCATATTAGTATATGGAAAAATAGATTTCACAATGTCATTATGACAGTATAAGAGAAATAGAAAGCGCGTTCACTTATTAATAGGTAGTCATGTTTTCTATTTTCCCTTATTAATAGGAAAACACGTTTTCTATTTTCCCTACTAATAGAACTCACGCTCGGGGCTCTCTTGTCAAATGCTCCGGGATTATAAGATTAGGGTCTTCGGCCGCCACGAAGTACTTCGCATTGTTGTTTTGCATTGGCGTGCGCCGCTTCGCATTGCCTTATGCGCGTTCCCCGCGCTGGCCATCAAGATGCACAACCGGCGTGGTTCGAATTTCGGTTTTGCGCGCTGGTTGCCGCAGTGGGAAAATGGAGGCGAGGCCGAAACAGTGCCAAACTTGCTGACACATGGCGCCAGCACCTCCCCGCGCACATCAAACCCCATTCCCCCCGAGAATTTGATTGATTGTTGGAATGCGAGGCTTAGGGGTTCCTCGGCAATTTGCTCAGCTGCTGGAGCGCCGAACACCTCAGCGTGTGCGGTGCCGACCTGCAGAACTGCCCAACCACCGTGCAGGTTGCTGCAGGGTGCGACGTCGTAGTAAGAAAGTACAGACACAGCGGTGATGATGCTTTTTGGCAGGTCAGCACAAACTCAACGTGCCGAACGTTGCCAGAGCTCTAACATGACCCCAGGTCGTTCTCCGTGGCAAATCTGGCTCAGCAAGTTCTGTTCAAAGGTGCTAGACGTGCACAATGCTGGAGCCAAGGAGCCTCATAGAACTGGTGGAACAGCCAAGGGTGCAGCAAAGGAAGGGAGGCACAAGCTCGATTTTCGGTTCAAGACCAGACAGGGGAAACAAGTCTTGCTGCTCCAAGGGGTGTGCAACGGCATGCATCAACTGCGCTATCGTTGGATCGACCACTGTTGGGGTCGTGTTGGGCTTATCCTCTGCGTCCTACGGACACATCCCGAATGGGGCACCCGTCTCATTGCGACAGATCATTCAGGACCCTGAGACTATGTTCGCACATTTCGGTTTCGTGTCTGGGCCAATGGTATTCATATTCCTGAAAGGATTTTTCAATTTCGTGGTGCAGATGGCACTCTACGTAGGCATGGACATGTGCCAAGGAAGAGACGCAATCCGCAAGAAGTTTGAAGAGCCCCAGAGGCTGAGCACTCTGTCGTTTCTCTTCCAAACGATAGGTTTGACGTCGACAACCTTCGCTTACACGAGGATCACGGCGGCGGCCCAGCCATGGGCATCTTGGCGTGGATGGGAGATCTGGTCTTTCCTCATCTCCCAACACATGGGCACCATCACCCTGCTCGTTGGACTTTGCTCCAATTTGATCGCAGCGGTCCTCATCGACGACGCCGAAGAAATCGGCTACGACGAGCGTGCCGTCGGCAGATGTTTGGTTGTCTGCGGCCTTGCCGTCGGCACCCCAGTGTGGCTCTCACTTGGGTCCACGGCGTGGCCGTGTATCCTGTTTCTCGGATTGACAACACCTGTTTGTTTGAAGGTTCTCTTCCGGTTGCCGTGTGTCGCCTCATTCGGGAACCCGACGTTGAGAGAGATGGTGCGGATGCTTCTCTTCCGGGAGCACGGTGCAGATGGTTTGAGTGCGTGGGCATTGTTGACAGTATCGTCTTGCGTTTGTTTTTCTATACTATCGGTCTTGGTCGGCGTCGACCGGACAGACACGTGGTTGCTGGTTGGGACGACATACGTATCGCTTTTGTTCCCGCTTGTTGCCACAAGCGCTGTATTGTCCTTGGTCTGCAACACTGCACCTCCGCAAATGTTGGCCTTCTGGATGTCCATGAGCTTGGTTTACATCACAATTATGACGATCCCAGCATCGATCCTCAGCTGGGACGGGGACATTCGGATCGGTGGTTGCGCGCCCGCTGCCTTCATGGGCAAGCAGGCCCGGCCCTTCTTTCGCCACACGTTCTTCTTGCCCGCCGAGGACGCGCTGGAGACAGCAAAGGCGACGGTCGACGACGACTACGTGTTCACGCGCAAGTTTCTTTTGTGGTTGAGCCAGGTCGTCAGCTTCTTCACGTGATGCTTGCTAGCCCACCCTGTTTAGCAGGGGCAAGGGTCTGCATTGCTGGAAGAGCACAAGGACAACCTCAGGTCGGCCCCGTCGGCACTGCCGTCATCTCATTAGAAGCCAGCGGAGCAATCTCGCGTCTGTTGCCACAGCTTCTGGCCTGCCCGTGAGACGGCCTCGCAGGATAGCGCATACGCCTTCCCGCGAGGCGAGGCGCGTCTGGACCGCCTCAGCATTCGATGCTGTCGGTGGTTAGGTCGTTGCCGAGAAAACCAGAATAATCATAAGAACAATAGCAACAACAACAACAACAACAACAACAACAACAGCAACAAAAAACAGCATTAACAACAACAACGACAACAACAAGCCAAAACAGCAATAATAACAACAACAGTAACGAACACACCAGCAACAATCATTTTGAGACTGTTCGCTCTTATATGCTCGCGTGCCGCTCAACACGGATAGTCCGAACCCTGGATACCCGCCCTTGTCGTCTCTGCTCGTACACCCTCGGGGGCATATCTCTTTCCTACCTGCAGCGTGTGTTTCGTGCAGCCCCTAAAGCAAGGAAGAGGGGACGGATGGAAGGGGGAGGAAGAAGGGTGGGAGGACGAGAGAAAGTTGCAGGAGAGGGGCCAGGAGCAGAAAACAGATGGTATAACCAGACGGGCAGATTTGGCGGGCAGACCCTGGCGGGCAGGTCGGGAAGGCGTGCCCAAGCGGCCAGGTCGAGCAGGCGGGCTGCTGAAGCGCAAGTCCTGCAAGAATCGCGAGGACGAGCGTTGGCGCGATTCCCAAGCAAAGCGTGAGAGAAGCCAAAGCGAGAGAGTGATTCTTGAGTGTCGCAGGCGCGGCGGTGTGAATCAATTGTGAAGTCCCGCGCGAGAGCGTGATGTCTAAATCAATTGTGAGGCAGTCCAGCGCGAAGGCGCGGTTTCTCAAAACATTGTCAAGACAAATCAGGCGAGAGCCGCTGTTGTTGTAAACAGGGGCCCGACAACCCAAATTCTGAGACCCAAGACTTTCCCGGATAAAAAGGGTGCGAGCCCCAGGAAGGGAACTTCAATTGAAAAAACACCATGTGCCACGGAGGGGGAACAACAATCATTATTCTTCCGTAGTGAGAGCTCAGTCACAACAGCAGCAACAACAGCATGACTCACAATACGAGCAACAACACTAACAAAACAACAGCAACAATCATGTTAAGACAGACTGTTCGCCCTTATCTGCTCGAGTGTCCAATAACGCATATTTCCCAAACCCTCGATACCCGCCCTCTTCGTCTTCGATCGAACCCCTTTTGGGGGGTATACCTTTCTTCCCTGCAGGCCGGGCCCCGGCAAGCGGCGGGGCGGCCGCGGACCGTCGGCCTGGCCAGCGGCAGCGCTGATCGGCGGGGCGGCCGCGGACCGTCGACCCGACCCCAGAGGGACGGACAGGGGACCGACCACGACGACGACGACGTCGACGACGATGACGGGACGACGACGACGACGACGACGACGACGACGACGAGCGAAAGCGAGAGCGAGAGAGAACGACAGCAGGGCCACAAGGACATGAAGTAGGCCACGAAGGGCGACAGCGGGGACACGAAGGGAATGCGTATGGGGCCACGAAGGGCGCGAACGAGCGGGGGCCACGAAGTGCAGATAATGCGGGGCCACAGAAGGCAACGATGGGGCCACTGAGGGTAGCAACTGGGCCACGTAGGACAGTGAGGGGGCCACAAAGGGCGACAGCGGGGCCACGAAGGGCACGCACATGGGGCCACAACGGGCGCGAACGAGCTGGGGCCACGAAGGGCATACGTATATTGGGCCGCGGATGGCAAGGACGGGGCCATTGAAGGCAGCAGCGGGGCCACGAAGGGCAGCGAGGGGGCCACGAAGGGCGACAGCGGGGCCACGAAGGGCATGCATATGGGGCCACCACGGGCGCGAACGAGCGGAGGCCACGAAGGGCATATGTATATGGAGCCACGAAGGGCAGCGAGGGGGCCACGAAGGGATGCAACGTAGGCACGAAGGGCAGCGAGGGGGCCACGAAGGGCTGCAACGGGGCCACGAAGGGCTGCGACGGGGCCACGAAGGGCAGCGAAGGGGCCACGAAGGGCTGCAACGGGGCCACGAAACAAAGCGAAGGGGGCCACGAAAGGCTGCAACGGGGCCACGAAGGGCAGCAAGGAGGCCACGAGGGGCTGCAACGGGGCCACGAAGGGCAGCGAGGGTGCCACGAAGGGCTGCAACGGGGCCACGAAACAAAGCGAGGGGGCCACGAAGGGCTGCAACGGGGCCACGAAGGGCAGCGAGATCCCGATTCCTAGGTCATCTATGAGGGAGTCCAAAGGGTGAGCGCGACTCCTGGGTGCCTGGGTGTCGGGAGCGCGGCGCTTGAGTAAACTGCAGGAAATTCCAACGCAAGGGCGCTATTCTTCAGTAAATTGCAAGCAAGTCTCCAGCGAGAGCGCGACTCCAGAGCGCCGGGAGAGCGATTCTTGAATCAATTGTAAGGAGGTCCCAAGCAAGGGCGCGACTCCTGAATAACATGCGAGGAAGTCTCGGGCGGGAGCGGGGGTCCTGGCTAAATTGTGTGGAAGTCTCAGGCGGGAGCCTTTGCTGTTCGAGCGTCGAGGGGCACACTTTGATTGAGAAAAAAGAGTATGCACCGGTGGTGGGGGGATCAACAAAAACCATTCCTCAGAAGTGAGAGTTCAACAACAGCAACCATAATTTTGAGACTTTCCGCTCTTATCTGTTCGCGGGCGACTCAACACGTATACCCCGAACCCTCGATATCCGCCCTCTTCGTCCTCGACCGTGCCCCCTTGGGGGTATATTTTTCTCACCTGCGCCCTGTATTTCGCGCGGCCCCTGAGGTAGGGGAAGAGAGGACGGACGCAAGGGATGACAAGGGGGAGGGAGGAAGACAGAACATTGGTTAAGAGCAGAAAACAATTGGCAGAACCTGGCGGGCAGATCGGGCGGGTAGACCCTACCTGGCGGGTCGGGAAGGAGGGCCCAGGCGGCCAGGTCGAGCAGGCGGGTTGCTGAAGCGTGCGTCCTGCAAGAATCGCGAGGAAGCATCGAGCGACAGCTCGATTTTCAAATCAATCGCGAGGAAATCCACAGCGAGAGCGTGACTCCTGAAGGTCGAGGGCGCGGCGTTTGTATCAATTGCGAGGGGGTCCCACGCGAGAGCGCGATTCCTGAATAAGTTGTGAGGAATGCCCACGCGAGAACGCGATTTGGGAATGAATCGTGAGGAAGTTTAGGCGCGAGCCGTTTCCTGTAGTTCGGGGGCCAACAGCGCAGTTTGAGCCTAGTGATTTTCTATGATTAGAAAGAGGGTGCGAACCCTGGGGAAGCACTTCACTTGAAAAACACACTATCTTCACCGGAGGTGGGGGTCAGCAATAACTAATATTCGGTAATTGGAATTAAACAACAAAACAACAATAACATCAACACAACACCAATAACATCAACAACACCAGCAACAACAATCATTTTAAGACTTTCCGCTCTTATCTGTTCGCGGGCGATTCAATACGTGTCCCAAACCCTCGATACCCGGTCTCTCCGTCTTCGACCTTACCCCTTCGGGGGTATGTGTCTTTCTTACATGCAACGTGTATTTCGCGCAGCCCCTAATGCAGGGAAAAAGAGGACGGATGGAAAGATGGGAGAAGGGGGAGAGAGGAGGATGGAGCGCGAGAGAGAGTAGCAGGAAATGGGGCTAGGAGTAGAAAACACATGGCAGAACCAAACGGGCAGATCGGTCGGGTAGACCTCAACGTGCGGGCTGGGAAGGCGGGCCCAGGCGGCCATTTCGAGCAGGCCGGTTGCTGAAGCGTGCGTCCTGCAAGAATCGCGAGGGATAATCGAGCGACAGCGCGATTCCCAAATACATCGGCAGGAAATCCACAGCGAAAGCGCGATTCTTGAGTGTCGCGGGCGCGGCGTCTGAATCAGTTGCCAGGAAGTCCCACGCGAGAGCGCGATTCTTGTATACATTGTGTGGACGTCCCGCGCGAGAGCGCGATTTGGGAATAATGTGTGAGGAAGTCAGCGGGTGTCGTCGTTGTTGTTGTTGTTGTTGTTGTTGTTGTTGTTGTTGTTGTTGTTGTTGTTGTTGTTGTTGTTGTTGTAACTCGGCGGCCAAGGACCCAGTTTGTTGACCCTTCGCTTTCCCTTGTTAAAAACAGGGTGCTAGCCCCTGGAAGGGCACTTCAATTGAAAAACACCCTGTGCCCTGGATGGGGGGATCAACAACACAACAACAACAACAACAACAACAGCAACAACAACAGCAACAACAACAACAACACCGACAACAACAATCATTGTTGGACGGTTCGTTCTTATCTGCTCGCGTGCCATGCAACGCGTATACCCCGAACCCTTCGATACGATGCCAGCCCTCCTCGGCTGCGACCGTGCCCATGCGGGGGCAGGCATCTTTCTTACCATGCAGCGCGCATTTCGTGCAGCACCTATCGGGGGAGCGTAAGACCCGGGTTTGCCGGGACTCGGGTTCGCCATCGTTTTTTGACGACCGCGCCTCGGATTTTGACGAGGAGGAGTTGCGCGGGATGTTTGCAGCGGGAGGCCTCGTCAAAATGCAGGCTCGGCCTCGTCATTTTTTTGACGACCTCGTCGGGGATTTCCGAGTCCCCCGTACCCGGGTCTTACGTCTCCCCGAACCTAAGGCAGGGCAGGCGAGGACGGATGGAAGGGGCAACGGGGGAGGGAGGAGGATGGAACTCCAAAGAAAGCAGCAGGAATCGCGAGGAAGTCTCGAGCGACGGCGCGATCCTCCAATACGTCTCGAGTGGAATCTACACCCAAAGCATGATTCCTGAGTGTCGAGGGCGCGGCGTCCGAACTAATTGCGAGGAAGTCCCACGCGAGAGCGCGACTCCTGTATAAACTGTGAGGAGGTTCCGCGCGAGAGCGCAGTTTGGAAATACACTGTGAGGAAGTATCAGGCAAGAGCCGTTGTTGTTGAATGCTCAGTTAAAGAACAATTATTGTTGATCCCCCCTCTGGTGACCATTTAATTTTTCCAATTGAAGTGCTTCCCCCAGGGATCGCACCCTGCTTTTTACCAGGGAAAGTCACAAGGGTCAAATTGTGCCCCTGGCCACCAGGTTACAACAACAACGGCTCCCGCTGCAGATTTCCTCACAATTCATTCCCAAATCGCGCTCTCGCGCCCGACTTCCTCACAATGTGTATACGAATCGCGCTCTCGCGTGG